GAAGGAAACATGTTTTAGGTGTTCCTCAGGGTTAGTTCACCTCATCACCTGAAGGAAACATGTTTTCGGTGTAGTAAGTCGTGGTTATATTCACCTTCCGGATGACAAATGTTTTGGTGAAAAGGTTCTTACAAAAACAGGTGAATCTAAGATTATTTTTTAGCAAGTCCTTCATGTTTTTATTGAAAGCACATCCTTAAAACACATCAAGCACATCTTGTTTTTGTCATTTAATTTGAACGTTTATTGAGAAATAATTTAGTGACGCAAACAACAAAGAAAATACACAATAAATTATATTTTATCAAGAAGTCTGACTGTTTTAAATTGTTTGTGAAATTGTCGACTTCCCTGATAAAATGGATGAAGTTGCCTGAAAGCAGCAAAGAAAAGGCAACAATTACTTAAAGGGATAGTTCATCCAATTCAGAGGAAAGGTTTTCAACATTTTACCTGTTGGAGATAACTCTTTGAATCAACTCAGTTGGAACAAAAAACAGTTCAAACAGAACTTCCTGGGACACAAACAGCGAACACAAGAACAGTTATAACTCAGTCATTTTCACAGATATTGAGCTCAAATTTGGAATTTTTGTAGCCGAGAGTCATTTAAAACTAACGATCCGTTCACTTTTGGAGTCAGTCTGACTGTTAGCAAATGTTTTCACAACAGACTTTAGAGAAACTTTTGTCATGAAGTTTCGTGATACTTTGTGCATAAATTTACTTTTCAAAATTAGATCCAAATGGCTAGAACACAAGCTTTTTACCTTCTGTGATTTTCGTCTGAAGCTCTGACATGACAGGTGGCAGGTGATGTGCATTTATTTCAGCAAAGCTCGGTCTTTGTTTTATGCACAACATCAACACGAGGAGCCACAGAGGGAGCATCAGCACTAAAACCCAGAGCCAGGAGGTCAACCTGCCCATAGATAGCATGAAACTCCTCCACTCCAACCCTAGAAAGCTCTGCACTCACAGACCCACACTTAGATAGGGGCGGACACATGTCCATCACCATGGTGACAGCTGGACACCGGCGCTCGGCGGCAGCAGCAACATCTCACCATAACTGCAGCATCGTCTGCGACACTCCTTCAGGAACTGCCACAGGACCGTCACCCGGAGTGACAGCGAGCCGACGCGCTCTCACGCTACAAGCGTGGGTCTTGGTTTGGATGAGTGCCTGAACGCTCCCGGCAGCAGCTCCTCGGGCGGTGGAGGGACGAGTCAGGGAAGGGGAGGCAGAGCGGGCGGCTGAGACAGATGGGCCCTGCACGACACTGGGCTTCCAGCAGGGGCCAAATCAATGCTTTACCAGAAAGACAGAAGAGGAATTAATAATTATTTTATCACTAGGTTGCTTTGCATTGCCTGTGCAGTCTAATTAATTGATGCTTTGTTTGTTGCCTCTGTCTTTTTTTAAACAGTCAATATTAGTTATTATTAATTTATTATTAATAAATGTTTAAGGGGCAGAAAGAAGCATAAAAGGGCAAGCAGTATTTTGTCTTCTGCTTTGTTTTAATTCCTCACTTACTTCTTCCAGCTCTGGATGGTCTCACCTTCTGTGTATTATTTATGTTTTTTCAACATGGAGTCAACACTGCCTGTCTGTTAGCAAAATATCTCATGATTCACTAATGAAACACTCGGGGTAACAATCAGTGAATATACAACTTTCTATTCTTTGGAGCTAACCCTATACAACATGGTCATCTGACCAAAGAAACAGAAATGGTTATAGTTCAGTCAGCTTTATATGAATACATATAAAATATATACACCATAAATATATGCATGTAACCTGGCACATAGGGGCAGCTGTGGATGAGTGGTTAGAGCAGTCGCACTCCAATGGGAGAGTTGGGGGTTCGATTCCACCAGCAGTCACATGCTGAAGTGTCCCTGGGCACCTCACTGCCTCTGATGTGCGTCCCATCGGTGAATGAAGGTGATCTAAAGCTCTGATTAGTCTCTACACATTCAGATTCTCTTTGTAGAGATCTAGTATAGAGCTGTATGAATGGATAAATGAGGGCACAGATTGTTGTAAAGAGCTTTGAGTATCTTGATAAGACAGAACGTCGTTATACAAGTACAGTACAGTCCATTTGCCTTGGAAGCTGAATAACATGAAAAATAAGCAACGTGTCAACGGACAATTTGTTTTTTGGCTGCATCAGGGCGTAAAAATAAAGGTCAATGTGAAAAACTGGGTTGCCAACTCAGAAACAAAGATGGCTACCACCACATATACTGTATAGTTGTAAACCAGCCACCCTCTCATTTGAGGAAACTGTGCTTTATAGATTTTAGATTGCTTAAAAGTATAGTTTCCACAAATGATTGGGGCAAAAATAAATAAGTTTGGGTGGCCAAGGCCACCAATGGCCACCCCCCTGGCTCTGTCTTTGCACCTGCTCATGGGTATAATCGCTCCCTCCAGTCTCCTATGATCCGTCCCTCTGCGCTGCCTTGGACTAACTACACTCACTGAAACTCCTACCCATATCTTGCACCAAAAACTTGAAGGTTTGCTTGTGTTCCCTGTTCAATTCCAGTGCAGAAAAACACTTATCTTGAAAACTACAAACATTTACTACTGAAATGCTTTAAGGGAGACATCATACTGTTTGTTTAACGTAGGATTAACAGAAAGCTTAAACCGTCTATCTGCGTTTGTGTTTTAATTTCTTTATTCATCTCAGACCTGTCTGACCAGCTCCTGGAGGTGGTGGGGCTGGAGGGAGCCATGGAGATGGGTCAGATCTACACGGGCCTGAAGAGTGCAGGGCGACGCCTGGCTCAGTGCTCCTCTGTGACCATCAGGTCAGGATCAGCCGTCTGCAAAACACATTCATTGTTTCCAGTCGTTTGAGAAGCATGCAGGTGCAAACTGGCTTTGATTGGTTGCTTCCCCCACTCTCTCTGCAACATGTTTCCTCATTCATCACCTCCAGAACCACTAAATCCCTGCCGATGCAGATTGATGGTGAACCCTGGATGCAGACGCCCTGCACTGTGAGTCTTTTCTGTCTCTCCACAAGAGTCGGTCAGCCTAAAGGTTTAACTCCAACATAAATACTTACTTACTGAATATTAAATACTTAAATTAAATACTTAAATTAAATACTTACATACTGCTAAATACTTACACCTTATAGCTCTGTGTTTATATTCATCAGTATTAATTAATTAAAATATCAAAGAAACTATTTGACTGTAAATGCTGCTACGTGCACATCTATCAGGTGATACCTTCCCATTAAAGTTCTACTATAAGTGTTTAAAATGCATCATGACATTTTATGGATACATTTAGAATCTAATGTTAGATCTAATCTTAATGGCTTTCAAAAATATATATTTTATTAATTATTTTTCTTTTGCAGAAACTTCTGAAAAACCTTAACTGATGTAACTGACATGATGTTTTTACTGTCTACAAGATAAATGTGTTGCTCAAGATGCGTTTAGTTCTTCAGTGTAAGTTTTTATGGGTTTAGTTGTTTCGTGCTTTAAGTTCATTCAAATGGACGGAGTTGGCAAACAATAAATGTAAATAATATTCTTTAGAAGTTAGTACATGTGTGTGTGACAAAAAACACAAGAAGTGTCTTGTAGACAGATTTAAATATATAACAGATAAGTGTTCAAATGTGCATTTAATGAACAGTGGGAACCTACACAAAACAAAAAGAGGCTCAATCATGCAGGTAAATAAATCAGTGAAAAGTTGAATCGTGTCATCTGGACAGTTTATTTTAAAGAAACTGTCCAGATGACACGATTCAACTTTTCTGTTACCATAAGATAAAAAGACCCCGTACAGTCACGGCCCCTTTTATTAGGTCCTCCTGTTCAATTGTTTGTTGACACCATCCATCCATCATCCTCTTGTTCTGGACTCAGGTCTTGGGGGCAGCATCTTGAACAGGGAAGTCCAGACATCTCTCTCCGCAGCCTCTTCCAGCTCTTCTGGGAGGACTCCAAGGTGTTCCCAGACCAACAGAGAGACATGGTCTCTCCATTGTGTCCTGGCTCTTCCCTGGGGTCTCCTCCCAGTCGGACATGCCTGAAGACCCTCCCTAGAGAGGCGTCCAGGGAGCATCCTTACCAGAGGTGAGGGGAGGAACATAGACTGAGCAGTAAACAGAGAGCTTTGTCTTACAGCTCAGCTCCCTCTTCACCACAATGGACTGGAACAGAGTCCACAATACTGCAGACGCTTCACCAATCCGTCTGTCAAGCTCACGCTCCATTCTTCCCTCACTTGTGAACAAAACCCCGAGATATTTGAACTCCTCCAGTTGAGTTAGAACCTCACCCTCGACCTGAAGAGAACAATCCACCCTTTTCCGGTTGAGGACCACGGCCTCAGATCTGGAGGTGCTGGTTCTCATCCCAGCTGCTTTACACTCAGCTGTGAACCGCTCCAGTGAGAGCTGAAGATCACGGCACGATGACGCCAACAGGACCACATCATCTGCAAAGAGCAGAGATGAATCCTGAGACCATCAAACTGAACTCCCTCCACCCCCTGGCTGCACCAAGAAGTTCAGTCCATTAAAGTTCTGAACAGAATCTGAGACAACGAGCAGCTCTGGTGGAGTCCAACTCCCACCATGAAGTGTTGACATGAACAGATAATTAGCCAATCACCTGGATCACATGAAGTTCAAAAGTGAGCATCAGGATGGAGAAAAAGGAATTTAAGTGACATGTCGCTGGTCTGAGTATGTCGGAAACTGCTGATCTGCTGGACTTTGCACATGGAATCATCTATCCAGAGAATGGTCCGAAACAGAAAACATCCAGTTAGAAGCAGTTTGAACAAAAATGCTTTGCTGATGTCGGAGGACAATGAGCTGACAGCAGCTCAGAGACACAGAATTCAACCAAGTTCTGCAGAATTCAATCTCTGAACGCACAGAAGGTCCAGTCTTGAGGCAGACGGGCTACAGCAGCAGAGGGCCGCACCGGGCACCACTTCTGTCAGCTGAGAGCATGAAGCTGAAGCTACAACTCACACAGACCCACCAAAATTGGGCAATAAGAGACTGGAAAACATGGTCTGGTCTGGCGGGTCTGGAACCGCTTCCACAACCACTAGATCTTGGTCCAACTGCTGGTCTTCGAGACGTGGTGAAAAGGAGCTTCTCATTATGGACGAGCAGCTCACAGATCAGCAGCAGCTCTGTGATGATGTCCTTATGAATATAAATGTCCAAGGAGTGCTTCCAACAGCTTGTTGAATCTGTGCCAGGAAGAACTCAGGGCAGCTCTGAAGGCCGAGGGGATCCTACCTGCTTCTAGCAGGGCGTACGGAACAAAGTGGTCGGTGAGCGTGATCATGTGACAGAGACAAAAAACAAGTTGGCGTCTGACAGCACATAACTTTGCTTTAAGACTTTCCTCGTTCGGTTTGTTGGAGCTGACTTTGATGAACCTGTTAAATACAAACATCTCGGTTCAAACAGGATGTCGTTCCACTAATTAATAACAACAAGCTCTATGCAAATGGATCTCAGTTCCTCTGCATGATAAATGCATTTACACCGTCGCTCCATTTGCATTTTGACTCCACTTACAACCAGGCATCCAACACAACTGTCACCCAAGGTAACCGACAAATGATTTTCTAAATGTAAATGTGATAAAATACCTTCAAATTATGATTTGTTGCAATGTTAGGGGATAAAAGTGTTGGATTATAAATTGGTTTTACTCCTAAACGACAAATTAATTTGGAACCAGCGTTGTTGAGGTGAAAAAAGAATCTTAATGTTGCTCGGTTTAATTTTTAAACTAAATTTATTTAAAGTACTCCTTTAGATCTTTTTCCCCCTATAAAAGGTTATCTCGTTGTGTGTGTATTAGAAAATGTTACGTTTTTTACTGATGAAAGAAAGTTCACTAAAAGTGCATGGAGTCAGAGTGCACGTGAAATAAATGGCAGCTTTGCTCTGGAGGGACGCAGACGGCGGCTCCTCGTCCTGGAGACCCTTGAAGTGGTGCTTTAATGAGTTGGACGAACTCTAAAATGACATCATGCTGCTCCACAGAACCTTGTTAGATTATAAAACTTTACCCAACTCAGGGGTTCCCAAACTTTTCCAAACCATGACCCCCCCACACAGCTTCTGCTGAGGCCCCCCTCGCAAACCCTCAAACAACGCTACTAACTAAGAAACATCAACTTTTAGAACGTTTTAACTTTTATTCACTATATATAATTATTACAGCTGCTGAGCATAAAATGTTATTCAGATGTTTTAAACACTGTTTTATATTCCCACTCAAGTGGCGCTGAAGTTCTGAAGGTTTTAAACACTCGTTTGCGAAGATCTCCAGACAGAGGACACATTTCAGGCGACCGTGGTGATTTTTCTGTGCGACTGTAAAGCCATGCTTAATGTATGAGTCCTCATGCCTTCCAATTTCAGCTGGTCATGAGCTCTTTGTTTGTTTGTTTGTTTGTTTGTTTGTTTGTTTGTTTTCAGCAGTTTCCACCACAGCAGAGCTGCTGGTCGGTCCCTTCGGTTTTTAGAAACCTCTTCATTTCATCCTTGCTTTGCAGCTTGAAGAGTAAAACAGCTTGATACATTTGACGGCAGCATGGTGAAGATATTTCAACATATTATTATAAAATATATTTTAAAATAATTATTGAAAAATAGATTCAATTTTATTACAGTCTTCTTCTTTCGGCTTTTCCCTCTTCAGGGGTCGCCACAGCAAGTCATCCTCCTTCATCACTTCGTCCTCTGTGTCCTCTGTCCTCACTCCAACTACCTCCATGTCCTCTCTAACTGCATCATATGTCTCCTCTTTGTCTTTTTCCTGCAGCTGCATTTCTAACATCCAGTATACCCACTGTCCCTCCTCTGGACATGTCCAAACCATCTCAGTGTGTCCTCTCTAACTTTATCTCCCAGTTGTTCCACCTGTGCTGTACCTCTGATGATCTCATTCCTGATCTTCTCCATCCTTGTCTCTCCT